ATATATATATATATATATATATATAAAGAAATAATCTTAAATAAAATTTAAAATAAAAAAAATAATCAAAATTCTTAAATTGAAAAAGTTTTTGATTAACTCAAATTCCTTTTTTGGAATTCTATGTCCAATTGAGATAACGTTAATTTTTTCCAAAGCGCGGATGGTCGATAGTTGACAAATTGTCGTGACAAAATATAATTTGTTTCACATTCTCTGCCAATAGATTTGTTTTTTTGTTAGTGACTACATTTCCTCCCACTGAAAATATTCTTTCACTAGATGTTTCTGTTGCGGCGATAGCAAGATAATGGTGCAAGAGGTACCAAAGATGGAAAACCAAGAACGAATTCAGAGGTGCTATTGTCGCTATTCTGTATACGCTTACCGACAACTATCGGTTCGGTTTCATATCATAGAAAAGCTGTGCAACGATGCCTACCAATCCATCAGTAGTCGATAAACGTGTATAGAATACAGAGGTATCACATAAGACGCAGTCAGCGTATGTACATGATTCGTATTCGCATCTTTTCGATTCGAAATTTTCGAATTATTTGGATTCGAATCTTAGGGATTTAAATTCGAATTGAATCGAATTTTACTTGATTCGATTCGAATTCGAATAATTCACATATCTCTATAATATTCCAACGATATTAGAAATCGACGCGAAAAAGCAAATTAGGGTTGCACTCTAAAACGCTCCTTTTGAGGAAGATTTTACTGAAAATTCATGTAACTATAGGCTTTCAGTAAAATTTTTCTCAAGATAAATGTTTTGAAATGTACAATCTAGGTAGATAACTAACTTTACAACTATAGGGAGACAAAAAAGTAAATTATTGACTGAGTCAGTTTTTCGCGTTGATTTCTAATATCGTGGGAATATTAGGATTACAGAAGGATATAAAAATATTGAGTCAAAATTATTTCATACATTTTAGAGCCTTTAAAGCCTTTGAAAAAAGAGTCTAATTTTTCACTTTCAAAATTTTGCTTGATAAATAATTCTCGATTTTCTCAAATTTCTTGCTATACCTCGTATATTTTAATATACAACTAGGCTATGGTAGTATTCATCTAATATATACCGTTTCTCAAACTTCTACGTTGAAATTCGCGCGAGGCAACTGTTGCGATGATCTCAGGCAACGCGGAAGAAAGAGAGAGACAGAGAGAGAGAGAGAAAGGCGGGTTGGTAATTTCATTTGCGCGACGAGCGCACGACTGCGAAGCGAGCGAGTAAATGAGCGTCGCCGGTATAATGCCCGACGAAGAATCCTATCGGAATGGCATTCCTGTCACGAGGACGTTTCTCGTTCCGTTCGCGCCGCTTCTACCGGACTTTATTGCATATTCCGAGTTCTTGGCTCTTCGTCGCTTGCAGCGGGAGATGCACTCACCGTGTGGCGGTATGAGCGCGGCTATATCCGATTTATCGCGACAGTGACGCGCGCGAAATGTCATGACGCGCGCGAAATGCTCGTCACTGTCGGGTGTTCGATGTCTGGCGCGCGTAATGCGATAAGATGCGCGCGGGCGCGGCCGACGAAATTGACGAGGACTGAGTCAAATTGGGAATGATAGCGAGCCGTAAAGCGTTGCGACAAGGGAATGGTGCAAATCTCGCTATTGATTGAATCGTCGAGATACCTCGTCTTATCGACGAGACTCTATCTATCTCTCTTTTTTCCTCTTGCTGATTATAAATGATCCGCCAAGAATTCGAAAAAAGTGCTTTTATCTTTTTCGATACATTCGGGAAATATAGGTTAACGATTGAAAAACCCTCACGCGCGAGAATCGATTTTCCCGAGGGACGTTTCGATCTTTCGACATTCCGTGCGGCGCTAATAAAGATAGTCTCTCTCTCTCTCTCTCTCTCTCTCTCTCTCTCTCTCTCTCTCTCTCGTTCTTTCTAGCGAGTCGATGGAATCGCGCTTTAAAATATGCGTAGACAGAAATAAATGGGCGCGATTTTAAGTTGTGAAATACTCGCGACCAGGCGAAAAAGGTCATATGTGAAAAATTTGCCGGCCGCGCTGTAAATTTACATGGGTATGTAACTGCACTCCCGCGGCGCAATACGAAGTTCGCGTACCCGCATATCTCACGATTACATTAAGCTGCCGTTATAACGAAAAATTAAAAATAGACCGTCGCAGCGCTCGAGAAAAGTAGATTTAAAGCGTCGGACGGAGAAGCGTGATCCCTCAAAGTCGGGATTACTCGGGAAACGTACTATTGCAGAAGCAACGAACGGGACCGCACATATGCGACAGACGTGTTTAACATCCCGACGCACGCATGTCTCGTTTGGCTGTTTAATGAAGAGCAACATTCCGCTATGCACTTTGATTATCGCGTCAGCACCGAAATAACACGACCGCGTTTTCCCGTGCCAGTTATCACTGAATCTAACTAAATCTACGGGTGACCGCCGTGGTGCAAACTTGTGAAACGCTTCGCGTCGATTAACGCAAGAACGCTGAATAAGATGGCGGGTAATTGATAAAGCGGAACGGATTCGCCGTCGTACCTTCGCCGGACTGTCAGAAAATACAACGTGCGTCGTTTCGCATAATGAGCCGGTAATTATCCGCGACCGGGGAGAGATATCGGTAGCGGCTGACTGTGGGGATATTTTTAGCACCTCGGGTGCAGCCCTCGGTCGGTCTGCTGGAAAATGTTTACAGCGCGGCAGTTTAGCGTGACTAATGAGGAAACGCTTGGGTCGCAGTCTGTCCCTCCGCGATTTTCACGAGCCTCGGATATGTCGCAGAGCGTCTCGAAATAAGAAGCGCTTTTTATACACAGGTTGTCTCGCTTCTACCGCGTTATTTTTGTAACGGCAAATTCTTCGGCCGGCCTCTCGGAGCGGAGTCTCCCTTTTCTTATAGCGCCGGGCTATCAGCAACTTTTCGATCGGAAGGAAAAACTTCCTAGCGAACTGTACTTCCAAGAACCGAATGGACGCCGAATGAATTAATAATTGTACAGCTTTGGCCGCGAAACCTTATAAAAAAATAATAGTCAGCAGCAGTGAAACACACACACACACACACACACACACTCTCTCTCTCCCGTAAAAATAGATCCAACGCGGCATAGAATATTTGCAGAACACACTGTGCTATCTGAAAACCTCTCGTATAATTCTGATATCACCGAAATCATAGTTTGTATCAAAGTGCTCCAAATTGTATCCGGAATTGTGTCCTGGCCTGGGTTCCAACTGATTCCAGCTGAATCGAAGCTTTTTTCAGGCTGGCTCAAACTGATTCCGATTTGTCTCGCCGACCAAACTTTCGCTACACCGCACGTTGCGCTCGATAGAAAACT